TTGACTAAAACCAAAATTGCAGATATAATTCAAAAAGCCGTTTCCACCCTCACCAGAAAATTAACCATACAATCTAGATCAAACTCTGTTGACTTCCACATCGTTACACAGCGTTTAGTGATTCATTCATGTCATCTGTCAGGCAATTTGAACGGCTCAACCACTACCAAATGGTGACCAGCTAAAACTGAGGGCGACTGAGCTCCCACAGCCTGTCTGACTGTTTTATTTATTGGTTTTGGTCAGGAGAATTTGAATACTAAAACCAGACTACTTCTGTGGTCTGCTGGCTTCCCAGAACATTCCAGCTACAGGCAATTCTTCCCCAGCTGCATTTCACGCCAGGGACGGGAATAAACAAGTTTTTGTCAATGAAGAATCTTCCACTGAGAGACACACTGAGCTTTAATTTGTGCTCAGTGTGGAGGTCCAGCCTTCGTACTGGTATCTGGAGGGGTCACATTAAGAATTTGAGGCTGGAATTTCTTTGGAAATGTGTCAGGAAGTTCCGACGCACCGGTGGTGAATAAAAAACACCACAGGGAGCTTTTAATTTGAATTCAGACCTGCACTGTCCACATCCTTCTGTGTCCCTGCCTTGTCCTTGCTTCTCTCTCTCTTCTCTCTCTCCTCTCCGTCCTCTCCTCCTCTCGCAACTCCCTAACCCTAACCCCCTAACCTTTAGTCCAAACCTTCGGTGCCTGAAGGATGAAATCACACACATGACTGCTTGTTCCTTTTCCCTCCTGCAGGCAAATAAAGGGTAAATCACAGCGTATTTAATTGTCAGCCGTACATGCACTACAGCAGATCTCCGCAGGGTGAGTGTGTGTGGTGTGTATGTGCTGAGACATCCAAACCACATTTTGACATTTTCTTGTTCATCACAATACCACAATGGAACCAATTATATTATTAAAGTGACTGCAAAGACATATTGGATTTAATTCAACCTTTAAATGCGTGCAAATATTTGGCATGCCACGTTGATCCAGGGGCGATTTGTTGCAGTTGCATTTAAGTAATATCGACAGTGATTTCTTCAGACTTTTTGATAAGTCATTTGATAAATGAAGCCAGTGGATTTTGCACAGGAACAGTGGAAACTGTTATCCTGTAGCCAGTGCCAGCTGTATCTCTCCTGTCTTTCGGCTCTAGAGAGTCTGGTGCAAGTCCCATGATGATTGTTGCTAAGCATGTGTGTGTCTGTCTGTGTGTTGTGTGTGTGTGTGTGTTTGCGTGCATTCTGTACAGGGCGGATCAGCTCCAGTACTCTCGCCATGAGAGTTCTGTGAGATAAGGTGTCCTCTTCCCTCCCAGCCATCCCC